AAGAACCACCAACCACCAACCCAGGGAAAGCCACTGGCAGTTCTCTCAGAAAATCCCTATATGGTGTCTCTATTTCTGCCTTTGTGAATTTGATCAGAAAGACTGGTCATATGACCATGGTACATATGCATGAAAACTAAGAATATACATGTAATTTCTGATTATTAAGTAATAAAGCATGCAAAAAATAATTTTTGAGAAAATCTGCACCTCAACATTACTCTAAACCTCATTCCAAATTAAGAATGTTTAAATAAATGCCAAAATACACGTGTAAAAATATATGTACCTGTAAATATCAAAATAGTGTAATTGCCAATGGAAATAAAAGGATGGATGAATAATTGGCTATATTGATACAGCTAACAATCTATTGAATTAATTACTAGGGTGGGTTGGGAGAAGGTTAAACACACAAAACACGGGAAGATGTAACCTAGTTACATATTTCCGTCCTATCAATATTGTGATTGTTATACTAACTAGTTGTTCTTTCTACTTATTTTGCACCAGGAAAGTCAAATAAATTAAACATTTATTTAAACAGTTAAACAACGAAACACAATTTTTAAAAACAAGGTCACGCGGTGTCTAACCAAATGAACAAACGAAACTATCACTCAAATTTCTATTTTTAAAATATGCAATTTTGCATTTATATAAAACTGCATCTAATGAAATTATGCATCACTCAAACATTCTAGTGACAAACAATATGAGTTTGGAAATTGTTGCTCAGGATTTTAAACTAGACACCGCAACCCTCGAAAACAGGTGACCAAACCCTAAAGCGTTTACATTTATTCAGGTTTCATCATTTTTCAAACTTACTATTGCTATATCATAAATATTTCATAACTGATTTGAAAGCTAATGTGCGCACTATTTAAGTTCTATAAATGAAGTAGAATCCAAACTAATTGAACCCACAAACACTTCTTTAATCTACGTCACAGAAATGCATGAAAATTGTGTTGTGAAATGGCTCATTGGTCAGACCGTGTACCCAAGTCGTTTCTTATCCAGTTGAAATTAGTCGTTTCGTACCCGAGGTGCTGGTCGTTTCGTACCCATTAATTTACAAGGTCAAATATACAGCATTATCATATTTACCGCTCCCTCTCTCAGCCTAATCTTTTTCCTACCTTAAAAATTGTAAGAGTAAAGGATATCCGGGCAAAAAATTGACCTAACACAAAAAATTACATTAATTGTATTGTTTTCACTGTCTAATCTATGTACTAAAAAGAATTCACAAAAATTCACATTGCCAGTAAAAAATAAAAAAAAGGAAACGTTGGCTATGTTCAAATAACCGAATAAGTCAATTCTTTTTTATATCGTTCAAATTTACATTGTCATATCTCTTGATATTATTTATTAATGACTAACGTGACTGAACAAAATTACTAATGTTTATCCTCTTAAAGCAACTAGAAATTCTACGATCTTTTAATAATGGGGATAAATGCAGATAAAACAGTTTTGCATGATTACGTTTCTCTTCTCCAATGATCAATACTGGTGTTAATTTCAATTTTTGTCGTCTGCTTTTAAAGGGGTTGATACTAGCACACGAGTCTTCAGTTTTATCAATTAAGCACGATGAAATCTGACATGAAATCACATGTTGTCAGAAATTTCTTCGTGCTTTATTGATAAAACTGCAGACTCCTGTGAAACTACACGGACCGCCAAGCCATTTCAATTATGCTTCCCATTAAGGTCATCTAGAATTATCCCTTAATTATGTTCATATTATTATTATTATTATTATTATTATTATTATTATTATTATTATTATTATTATTATTATTATTATTAGTAGTAGTAGTAGTAGTAGTAGTAGTATATAGCAGTTGCTTCACTAATAGGTAGATTCATTTTAGCATAGATCGTTCGTGTAATTACCTTTGTAATTTTGTATGCATCTATCTATCTATCTATCTATCTATCTATCTATCTATCTATCTATCTATCTATCTATCTATCTATCTATCTATCTATCTATCTATCTATCTATCTGTCTGTCTGTCTGTCTATCACAAAGGGAAAAAAGCCACATAGAAATAGTTTATTATGATGAAATGAAAACTGCATATGATATTTTATTGCAATGCTTCTTCTTGGCCATCCAAAGATATTCACATGGTAATACCTGTAACATCGAACTGCTTTAAACATTTTGAAATACGTATGATATATCTTTATATGATAATGGTAGTAATATTTGTACTTTTGGTACGAAACGATTACAGCATTGGGTACGAAACGACCAGCACCTTGGGTATGAAACGACCAATGCTTTGGGTACAATACGACTTGCGTATAATTGTATAATTTGTTGCACGATAACAAGGACATTCGAACGCTTTATTTATATTTTTTAAAATTACAAAAAGCAGGAGAAAACTAAATTTATTAACTGCAACCAATTCGTTGATCCAGTTCAAAAATGCTACTGACTAGTAATCACAAATTTGAAGAAAAATATGTTTAATACCAATGGGTGTAAGCATTTTCGAACCAAGTTGATTTTTTTAAAACCAGGTTAATTCATAATATGTCAAATATTTCTCACTTTATTCTTAGATGATAATGTCTTATAATTTCCCATATAGGTTGAAGGCTTTTAAATTACAATTTCGGAAGACTACGGGGTGGGGGATTCTAAGCGAGATAATGGCGTACTTCTGCATACTAGATTAAATTAAATAATGTAAGAGTCAATAATATTTTTATTGAGAAATAATATTACAACAGTATTTTCACACCATCCCGTTTGTTTGTACCGCCTACTGATGTAAACAAAAGAAAACAAATGATATAACAATGCATACATCTCACACACTGATTAATAAATTCGAAACTGATTATCGCCTGGGGGTCCCAAACACTTCAATTTGGCGACGTTTCGAATTAAAAAAAAATAGTTTCTTTAGTAACACGTTCGCCATATTTGCTTGGCCAGATTGTTTTTAAACAAGAAATATGATGTAGTTGTGGTAAACCCCTCCTCAACTTATTTGTGGCAGATTGACTCGTTTTGGCGTTGCATCTAGGAGTGATCTTCAATTTACCAGGTATCAAATAAAGCTACTACAAAGTAAGAATTTACGGATGGAATAAAGATGTAATCTGAGCTAACATATAGAACAAATAAGTCGAGCCCCCGTTACAAATAAAGACAAAATTTAATAAAATTTTAAAGAATAAAAATTTCCACAAGTAAATAATGTGAAAGTTACAGTTTAAAAGATACACTTCTTTCTTTACGTAATAATTAATTAAGGAATTTCAAAATTACAAATAACATTATAAGATTAGCCGATTCTGTTAAGATAGAATAAAAATCATCATTTACGAGTCCGAGTATATCGAATATCTCTGCCTTGCATCAAATTATAACATGTTGACTGATTCCGTTCCACATGTCCTCTGATACTGTACGTTCTGTTCCTTTGTAACAGTACGTCTCCCGTTCCACTTTTCATTCGCTCCAAAAATTCTTGGTGTCTTTCGTTTTGTTCTAAATTATCCTTTTCCTTCCCATACTGTTTGGGTTGCAACGTCTTTTCCAGACTATCTCTCCTTATAGAAAGATAAACATAGCAACCTTAATCATCCGTAACATTATCGGGTAATACATCGTTAAACTGGCCGGCCCTTCGAGGTCAGAGGTTAACTATCGATTTCAAACAGACTGTACGGTTATCTATTAGCCTTACGGTTTAGCTCCTAGACTAATGATCTGCGAATGGCCATTTATGCTACATGCGGCATTAGCTCTTCACTCGGTCTTGTTATACGTAAATGAATGAAATTTCTTGCCCTACTAAAGTTACCATTATACATAATAAATTCGTTCGGATAGTTTCAACGACTTCTGTTACATCAATCATCAATTCATCCATTTATATAAACACAATATTATCAGCTAAATGGACTCAACACAATTATGTCGGATACATAATTCCGTATATAGAATAAGTATGAATTCAAGATCCTCAACTCCTACGATAATCAAGACTATAACGTAGCAAACCGCCAATGCATATGTAAAAAGAAATATCGATGCGCGGGTTCAGACAAACAAACTAGACACAAGTATACCATATCAAGAAAATTAATCTACGACAATTCCTAAATAATTTCCTACAAATACATGCCTCTACAAGCAATTAAATCATAGCGTAAACGACGAATATATATATATATATATATATATATATATATATATATATATATATATATATATATATATATATATATATATATATATATATATATATATATATATGCAAATACAAGCTCCTACAAGTAATTAAATCATAGCATAAAAGACGTGTATGAGATGTATGCAATTACCTCGTTTTTCAAGCTTTTGGTCTCTGTCGAATACTTCAGACGAACGTCTCTCCCTTGGATATAATTTTGATTGACAAAAACTTTACTCATTAAAATCCCTGGAGTTTACCGGTATTTATTCTCTCTCTATAGCAGATAAATAAAGACTAAATAATAATAATAATAATAATAATAATAATAATAATAATAATAATAATAATAATAATAATAATAATAATAATAATAATAATAATAATAATATTATTATTATTATTATTATTATTATTATTATTATTATTATTATTATTATTATTATTATTATTATTATTATTATTATTATTATTATTATTCCCACTATGTAGGGTCGGCCACAAAACTGTCGTGGGCTAGACGCTTTATTTCGGTTGCCTTGGCACAATATGGCTTTCACGGATTTTTGTTCGTTTAAAAAATCAATCAATAAATTAATTAGTATTCATTCACTGGCCAAATAGTTTAAAGAGCTCTACTATTGTTGACGAAGAGTTTGCATGAGAGAATAAAAGGTTCATTAATTTAAGACCAGAAAGTCACCATTTATAATAACAATGTAAAAAGCATCTCATACAAAAATAAATATGTAACACAAAATAACTAGCGAAAAAAAAAACACATGCCCCAGGTGAGGATCGAACTCACGACCTTCAGATCGCTCTATGATTTTGATTATGAGACTGACGCGCTGCCTGCTGCGCTACCGAGGCACTTAGGAAGAGTGGCTCACATAAACTTTGATAACTTATATATCGATAGTCTGAATTATTTTTTTTTTCCTCCATAGTAAAACAACACTATTGCTATCTTATTATCTAGACATGATTATAAGTTTACATGGCAAGGTAGACCAATGCTGTCTGCTTCACTTTTATATTTAGGCCTATCTTTTATAATTGATAGCGTTGTGGACCATCCACCCTTGATTTTTAAAAATATTTTTTACTTTTCTTCTCAATCACCATTAATGTCAGCTATGAGAGAGAGAGAGAGAGAGAGAGAGAGAGAGAGAGAGAGAGAGAGAGAGAGAGAGAGAGAGAGAGAGAGAGAGAGCAACCTGTAAAGTTGGTCTGAAAGAGAGTAACAAGGGGAAAATCACGAGGATTAATGCTTTGAACACGCCATGTTCTTATGGAATTAATCAAAGCAAGCTGCACATCATAGAAAACATTATACAATTTTAAAAAAATAACTTATTTGGGACCGACCTATCCACTGTCAGCGGACAGGCTTGTGCAGTGACGTCACTACTGTTGTTGTCACCGGGTGTAATGACTTGCACAAATATTTAACAATTGTATAGACTGTCATTTTGTGACTTATAGTGTCACCCCAATGTAATCCGGTGTCTTCCTCACTCACCTACTGGATTTGTGATTTTCTTTCGAAAAAGGAGTTGTGTGTGTGCGCGCGCGTGTGTGTGTGTGTGTGTGTGTGTGTGTGTGCGTGTGTGTGTGGTAAGAATTCAATTTACGGGCAATCCAATCCAAGGGAGGTAACCTTATGTAAGTAGTACATGGAAATGTCATATTATCACCTATCAGACTATTTTATCTTTAAATAAATAAGTAAATAAATAATAAAAAATAAATCATAATTCATTCATTCATTCATGCATTCATTCATTCAAAAAGTCTTGCTTGATGAAAACAACAACAACAAAAAAAAAACGAATATAATTCTGCGCAGATGCAATCTTAATTGTGTCGATGCTGACAACGACGAAGTATTTCTTGTTGGTATTGATCACATTGGGGAAAAAGAAAAGCAACTGTAACTACTTCGTTGATTATGTAAATTTAGTCCAGTTAACTCGAGTTGGGGTGGGGTTAGGGACGATGAAGAGGAAGAAGAATGGGAATTTAAATAATAAAGGAGAGCTGTAGGAGTTCGTAATGGTGGACCCATTAAATCAATATAATCTCTGTACTGTGTTTCTGATAATAAGTGTCCATAAACCAATTGTTTAAAACTTAATTTACTTAATGTTCTGAAATGAAACTTTCGAATAGGTGCATACCAAATTCTAGCGTTTCTTTTCTGATATGCGTTTTAGGTAGTCTGAAAATTATTTTAAGGAATATTACAGAATTATTGGAAAGTCCATAAGTGCATCCGTAATACTATTTACTGAACAACTTCATTATTTGCCTTAAACTCGGTTCACTCTTCTGTATTGTTCTCTCTTTCCTCTCTCAGTAAGGTTGTTTGTATCTCCGTGTGTGAGCCATCCCTTTAGACGTTTACCTATTCTTCTATGCGTTATTCCATCCTTTAATATCAATTCGTTTATTTATCAATCAGTTTCTTAATCCATCCGTTCGCCGATTGCTCGCTCGTCCATTTGTCTGTTCTTATCTTTATACGTCCGATTAACCCTGTTGACTTCTATACAGCTATATCGAAGCCATTTGTTCCGCTCCCTGCAGAAATATTTATCTGCTCGTCTGACAGTTCGTTCTACTTCTATCTTTGTTGTGTCTGTCTGCTAACCTAAAGAACTGTCTTCTTTTTACTGCTTATGTCATTTTCACATGTTTTTGTTCAAAAAGGAAAATTTATTTTAAATACAACATACAACAAAAGTTTGCTTTACATCAGCACTGTTAAGAAGACCGGGCCGCAGTGATTAAGATGGAGGAAAATATAAGAGGAAGCTATATATCTTCAAAAGATGTTATTCTTAATCCTGTGTATACCTGCTTACCTACATAACTACATACACACGCACACCGTGGGGCTACACAACAATTGTAGAGCATCCTAATAACAATAAATGATTTTCGAATGCATGTCAATCGAAAAGTAACACTTCAAACACATTTGATTGCTTAATAACTGCTCGAACATCCAAGTTCTCATAACAGGAAACCAGGAAAGCCGGGTGGTGAGTTTTTCCTGAATTTTCGAGCCCTCCACTCACACTACAGCTAAATAAAAGGAAAGTCAGGTTCCTTTAGAAATTTTGGGTTTCCGAGACTCCCCCCCCCTTTCCACCTTATTCAGCATTGGAAAAGCAGCTAGCCATGTACATGATTTCAAAACTGAAGCGCAGGTGAGAAGAAACAATCATTCTGTTGCAATCTTATAACTTTTGTAAAACAATAAATGTGTGTGCGTCTGTGTGTGTGTGTGTGTGTGTGTTAAGGGCGATGATTTACTGGTTGAAAAATAATATTATTACATTGGCTTGTAACGCGATTAGGTGTCCATTCTATAAGCTACTTACGTAAAATGTATACCCAATCTAATCAATGTATGGTAACTCGAGGCGACATGGGTACTAATATAAAATATGCTAATAAACGGTGTACATGTTCCTCTCTCTCTCTCTCTCTCTCTCTCTCTCTCTCTCTCTCTCTCTCTCTCTCTCTCTCTCTCTTTTATAACATAAAACATATATCCAATTGTGGTCCGAGGCCAGTAATAGTTGTATTCAGCGATAATCACTACACAATGCCCCAGACAGCTTCGATAACACAGATTCCATATCACATCCGAGTGTATTTTAGATCCGCGCTTCCGTCCAAAAATAGAATTGGTCTGTCCGCCCATGAATGTGAATTTGTTCGTCCCAGGTCGGACGCAAGTTCCCGTAATTCCAACTCTACCATTACATGTCCAAACCCAAGTTGGAGTTACACCATAAGCCGTACAACAACCGACATTCAAAATGACATTGAGAAAAGCCGCAATGATTTCACCGCCACTAATTTGCGTCAGTGACGCCTCGACCACGCAATCATGATGACAAGATCTTCAATACTATTCATACTCAACATGTTTTCTCGACAAGTAAATGCCATGTCTCTGAAAAAGACAAAACTGAGGACGAAGTAAATGAGCGCAGAAAAAGGAAGTCCAGCACTTACTAGCATTTAACTCGAATTTTACATGTCCAAAATATATTCCATTGTTCATTTATAATTTGTCCGGTTGTGACAACCACCTGTTCATTAAAACGTTTGTTAAAAAGACAACAATCGTTCCAAACAAGGACAAAAATGCATATCATTAAGCGATGATTCATATTTTAGAGATTCATGGTAGAACGCAAAGGAATAACTAAAACGGGTCAGAATATTTACCAAAACAAACTGTAACAAGCCGGAACAAACAAAAATACCGGAACAAAAATTTAGATAATACCAGAACAAAGATTAAAAATCAAATTATGCTTGCTTATTTAACTAGTTATACCTTTAATTCCATTCACTTCAATTAATTTTATCCTAACGTTGGTTATTTTCCTCTTTTTTTCATATTTCGAACAGATGAGAATACCGGGACAAAATAAAAAATACCGTAATATATATATATATATATATATATATATATATATATATATATATATATATATATATATATATATATATATATATATATATATATATATATATATATATATATAAAATTTTTTTTAAAAAACATATTTGAATGAATTAAGTTTAGACAATTAGCGGCTAGTAGTAAGATGGTGCTCATACGCTGTTGTTTTTGTTTAATTAGACGGTTAATTTGCCCTTGCACGATTTAAAACATGATCAGATTATAACATGATCAGATTCGTATTGTATTGCACAGCATGTCATTTTTTTAGTGTTTTAGAACTGTTTATTTTATTTTAGTGTTTTAGAACTGTTTGTACATCACAGAAAGTGATGAAATATGAAGGATTAAAAGTTGCAAGCTATTATTGATGTCATATGTAAACAGTATTTCAAGTTGAAATTTAGTAACCACTTTTGAGTTCTTTCTGTTTCGTCTGTGTTAGTGCACCTGTCTATGTCAGAGCCAAACTGTTTTGGGGTCCGTTTTCGCTCGTTCACTATATTTATTCTTATTATTATTTTGCGACCAGGTCCCTCTCCGATGCTCGTAGATGACTGTTGTAGTTGTCCTGTTGGATGGAATCACATATTGGGATCATTTTTTGATGATTTGCAAAACTTTACATAATCTTTTTCCACGCAGTAGTACTTGCCAAAACTTTTTTTTCGCGAAATGAATAAAATAAGTGTATTTTCTATATTCCGCTATCAAATTCAAGAGTTATTTTCTATTGAAGATAATGGAAAAACTATGAAATCCTGTTAGGGTCAATCGCTCCATCGTGCTATATTTCACCGGGCGATGGAGCGATGAAGCGATGCGATGCAGAGATGGAGCGATGCGATGGAGCGATGGTAATTCATCGCTCCATCGTTTTATATTTCACCGGGCGATGGAGCGATGAAGCGTTGCGATGGAGCGATGTAGCGATGCGATGCAGCGATGGAGCGATGCGATGGAGCGATGGTAATTCATCGCTCCATCGCTTCGCTTCATCGCTCCATCGCGGCATACACAAGGGATGAGAATAAACAACAAATCATACCTCACTATATATATATATATATATATATATATATATATATATATATATATATATATATGCAGGAAAAAAGTAATTACGGGAGATTTTATCTCTTTTCAGACAGATCTTGGCTTCATTGTATCCAAGCAATGCAACAATTTTGTTTTATGAACAATTCGGGTTTACTTTAATTTTAATAGTTTTGTTAATGCAGTGTGTGATTGTCCCACAGAATCCATCTTTCCCACAAAATGCACTAAATGTCAGATTTTTAAGCAAATCGCTAGACTGTAACTACTGCAGCCAATATGTAATTTAAATTAAATATTGACTGCAAGTATATGAGTTGCTAAC